GGGGGGGGGGGGGCCGCGGGGGCGCGCGGGGCGGAGGGGCGCGGGGCCCACGCCCGACGCCCTGCCTCACCCGCCCGCTCGCGCGCGCCAGGGACATCTCGCCGCTCCTGAAGGACCCCGCCGCCTTCCGCGCGTGCATCAGCCTCCTGGCGCGCCACCTGAGACAGACGCACGGCGGCGACATCGACTACGTCGTGGGCAAGTGAACCCGGGGACGCCCCGTCGGCCCTGCCGCGCCCTGGGGTGTCCGGGGGCCGCAGGGTCTGCGCCAGGAGGCCGTGAGCGCGGAGGGGCTGGGGGGCGGCCCCCGGGTGACACTGGACGCCGCACCGGGGTTTGGGTGGGTGGTAGGGACGGCCCCGCTGCGCCGCACGTGGTGCCCGAGGGTGGGTCCAGCCTTGGTGGCCCGGCAGACGGTAGCGTCCCCGCCCCCCGCCGCAAGTTCCTGGCCTCCAGCTCCGGACACGTGGGGCCCCGCGGCCCGGTTGCGCAGGGAGTGTCTGACCAGAGTCCAGGGGCCAAGCACGCTGCTGTTCTCCCCTGGAGTGCCCTGAGCCCTGGGCCGCGCCCTTTCCCCGCGGCACCCTGGCAGGTCTGGTCCCTGTGCGAGTCCCCTCGCCTGGGGCTCCCAAGGCTCCCCAGGGACCACAGCTTTCCACTTGGCTGAGTCCTCCCGGCCAGGGCAGCCCGCCCCCACTGCACTCCTGGAAGGCGTGGGGACCCCGCTCTGCCCGCTCCAGGCAGAAGCTGCTTTTAAGGATGATGAAAGGCGCCTGAGTCCCTGTCATAGTCCCTGCCAGCCCCGCTAGACCGGCAGCAGCGCTGAGGGGGGAGGTCAGGTCACTTCCCTGAGGCACAGCTGCACGTGCCTGCTGTGTGGGGCTCGCCTGGTCCTGGTCCTTGACCCCACCTCCCAGGGTCCCTGTGCGGGGCGGGGGCCGTGTTGGCGTTGCCGAGAGTGTGATGTCCTTGGTCTTCCAGCTGCAGGCGACAGAGCCAGGAGCCTTTTGTCTTTGCAAAGGCTCCGTGTCACCTTCCAGCACTGGCTCACCAGGATCTCAGGCTGCTGTGCCACACAGCTGCCCCTTGACACCCCCGCTCTCGCCAACAGGCCTGGACTCCCGAGGCTTTCTGTTCGGCCCATCCCTGGCCCAGGAGCTTGGCTTGGGCTGCGTGCTCATCCGAAAACGAGGGAAGCTGCCCGGCCCCACTGTGTCTGCCTCATACACCCTGGAGTACGGCAAGGTGAATGGGCTGGGCACCGCCGCCTTCCCCCCTCGGGCACCCCCCGCCCCAGAACAGTCGTGGGGTCGAGGGGCGCTGCCGTGGTTGGTGCTCAGCCTCTGAGACGCCAGGCTCGCCAGGAGACGGCTGGGTGGGTTGAAACTGGGGCCCAGACGGCCGCATCCGGTCAGCAACCCCTCCCAGGCCATTTCCTGACACAGGCTTCCCGTGTGCAGGCGGAGCTGGAAATCCAGACAGACGCCTTGGAGCCGGGGCAGAAGGTGGTCGTCGTGGACGATCTGCTGGCCACTGGCGGTGAGGGCCTCCCCCCCCCCCCCCCCCCCCCACCCCCCCGAAGGGGGGCCTGGGGGGCGCGGGGGGGCGCTGCGAGGGCTGCAAGAATGTGCCTCACAGCGTGTGAGCGGCGGGGCCCCGCGCGCGCCACCGGGAGCCTCGCCAGCATACCAACCCCTCCCCCGCCCAGGAACCATGCGGGCGGCCTGTGAGCTGCTGGGCCAGCTGCAGGCCGAGGTGCTGGAGTGCGTGAGCCTGGTGGAGCTGACGTCGCTCAAGGGCCGGGAGAAGCTGGCGCCGGTGCCCTTCTTCTCCCTCCTGCAGTTCGAGTGACGCCCGCCGCGGCCGCCAGGGGGCGCCGGCCACCTGCCTGGACTTTTTTTTTTTTTAACGGTTTTGCGCATGCAATTGCCTTTCCCAAGTGCCTAGGCCGTGGTCGTGGTCCTTCCTGCGGGCTCCGGATCTGGAGGTGTCAAGGCCTGGAGCGAGCAGTTCAGGCCGGGGCCCCGCCCCCAAAGGTGCACTTAACAAAGACAGACGTGAATAAACTGCTTTGTTAGAGTGGCTGCTCTCGGTCCAGGTGCTGGGGTGGGGCCGTGGGGCGACGTGCAGGAATCCCACCTGGCCGGCCGCCCGGGCCTCCTGTGGCCCAGAGCAGGCAGGAGACCAGGGCTGCCCGAACTGCTGCCCAGTCGTGGCTCCAAAAGGTCATGCTCCTGGGCAGCTCACAACTTTGTCTTCGGGTTCTAGATGGTGGAAGTGCCCATCCGTGTTGCTGGGGCTGGTTCCTTCTGGGGGCCCCAGGGAGACCATGTCCATGGCTTTCCCAGCTTCTAGAGCCTCAGAGCCGACCCTCCATCCTAAGCCAGCAGCCTGCTGCCCTCCTACAAGGGCCCAGGGGGTCACCGAGCCCACTGGGCCATCCAGGATTCCCACGTGGATGTCCTGGGGACATTCTGCCCACCGCCTGCCCTCCTGCCTCACTTCCCTACACCCCAAACACTGCAAAGACCAAGTCCCCAACAGAAACCAGTTTAATAACAAAATGCTGCCCCAGGAGAGGCCTACTGCCCACGCTGGCCAGGGAGCCTGGTGGGGGGTGCAGAGGGGGGAAAGTGCATCTTGTTCCTAAAGAGAGTAAAAGACACAGCGGGCAAGGGCAGGGACTGGAAGTCCGTGGCTGCGAGGTTCACAGCACCACCTCCGCCCGGGCAAGGCAGGCCAGCCGTGTGAGGACACCTGCCAGGTCTGCAGCCTTGTCCAGCTTGATGTAGGTGTCCGCACGGACACGGTGCAGACTGAGCCAGTCGGGCAGCAGCTCAGAGAGGAGTTGCACGTGCTTCTCCATCTCCCCTGCAGAGGGAGGGGGGTGCATGAGGCGGGGGCCCAGGCCCCGTCAGCAGGCCTGCCTGAAGGCCAACCCTGCCCCTCTCCCCCTGCCTGCCTGTCCATGCCTCTGAGAAGCAGAGTGAACACCGAAAAGATGGGGAACAGCTTTGCCAAGGAGCTAACCCACTAAGCCCCGCACAGGTCCCAGTCCCCAGGGGGGAGCTACCCTGGAGCTTGGAGGGAGCCAAGGGTCCCATGGGCCGTGGGGCCATCTAAGGGGCTGCAGGGCACAGTCGGGTTGTGAAAGCAGAAGCTCAAGAGCTGACCTCCAAGGCACTGTGCCCGCCCAGCACACGCCACAGACGCTCCACACGTATGTGGAACAGCCGATCCCCGGTGCCCACCCTCAGCCGGGAGTCGGGGACGCAGGGAGGGTCCCGCACACACCAGGGCTCAGGGCCACGGGGTAGCTGCCCAGCAGCCTGCTGCAGGCCACGTCCATGGGCAGCGCCGGCTTGCGCTCCGACACGAAGATGCTGCGTAGTACGCGGGCGAGCTCGGGCAGCCGCTCGAGCCGCTGCTGCCGCTGCTCCTGCTCCGGCCGCCGGGTCATCTGTGCCAGCTGCTTCCGTGCCTCCTTGCACCGGATCTGCGGCGGGCCCAAGCCACAGTCAGTGGGAAGCCAGGCCCGTGCTGGCCCGGCTCTGCCGCACCGGGACCCCCGGCACTCACCCTCTCTAGCAGGTCCTGGGACACCCCCTTCAGGGCCGCAGGCGGGTTAGCGGGTGGTGTGGCCCGTGGGGTGGAGCAGGGGGACCCAGGGCTGCTGGGCTTGGCGGTACGCTGGGCCAGGCCACTCAGGGCCTTTTCCATCTAGGGCAGGTCAGAGGGAGGAATGAGGCGGAGCCCCCCCTGCCCGGGGGGGGGGGGGCGCAGTCTGTCCAGCCCAGCAGGGCCAAACCTGCTGCCCCAGGACAGAGCCTACGTATCAGGTGCCCGCGTGGAGACGGGGCAGCCCCGCCCTGTCATCCCAGACTCAGTCTTACCCTGGGCGACAGGAGGCCGCGGGCACGGGCCAACACCTCCTGGGCGGTGGCCGGCTTCTCCACAGTGGGCGGCTGGGGCAGCTCAGCTGGCTCGATGTCAGGCACGCTGTCCACATTGAACCGGGGGTGCCAACGTGTGAGCTGGTCCTCAGGCACCGCCACGGGAGGGTTCAGGGAGGCCAGGAAGGCCTGTGTGTGAAGGGGACAGGGAGTGTGGGCTGATCCCAGGCACGTCCGTATTGGGGCAGGCAAGGCTGTGGGGCTCCTGTCCCCGCTGGACGACCTTGGACGAGGTCCTGCGTCCGAGCTCCAGCTGCTCAGCCGGGCAAGGACAGGACACCGCAGCCGACAGCCCCCACTGAGCCCGTCGTGAACCTCCAGGGGCCTGGGGCTGCCATGCCGAGCTCCTCCCCCTCAGCCGGGGGACAGGACCGGGACCCTGGCCCACCGCGCATCCACCGGGCAGGGGGCAGCCATGAGAGGGGTCCAGAGAACTCGAAAGGTCAGCCTCTCAAGAAGGCCTGTTTCCTACAGGAGGAGGGGACGGGGCGCAGGGCGGGCTAGGGACAGGCCTCCCCCTGGGCCGGGTACTCACACTGTGGTGCTCGCGGACACGCTTCACCAGGTTCTGGCTGAAGAGCCGCCGGCGCTGCAGGAGCTGCGAGGCCGTGAGCTGGGGCGCTGGGCTGCCGGCCTCTGCGGGGAGAGTTCAGGGCTGAGGCCCCGGGTCTTGGAGGAGGCCAGGGCCCAAGGCCTCACACCCACGGTCCAAACCATGTCACTGGCAGGGAGGCAGGCTCATAGCTGCGTGACCTCCGCCACGGCTCACTCACCGCGGTCCAGCAGCGGCTCAATGGTAAGCTGGTAATCGGACCTCTTAAGGCCGTCCTTGAAGGTGGGGATGTTGCGCTCCTGGCGGAAGCGGTAGGAAGTTGGGTACACGGCTCTGATCTGGCCCACATTGCGCTCTTCAAAGCGCCTACGAGACAAGGTACTGGGCTCAGAGAGCGCCAGGCAGGGCACAGGGCGGTCTCCGCAGGCACGGGGAGGCCCCTGCCCGCTGCGGGCCACTCACTTGCGCATCATGTCCTGAACGCCCTGCTTGACTTTGGCAAACGTCACGGTCTCGGAGCGGTTGTACAACAAGCCCACGATGGCGTCCATGCTGCGGAACATCTCCGCCAGCACCTGGTACTTGTAGGGCAGCACGAGGCCTGGGGGCCCCGGCTGGGCCAGGGCGTGGAAGCGCTCGTAGGCAGGTGCCTTCTCTCCGCTGCCATGGAGGGAGCCGGGCTCAGGGGAAGCACCAGACCCCCACCCCTCCAACACCAACCGCAGGCAGGCAACGTGGCCCTGGAGACCCCAGGGCCGGGGAAGTCCCAAGCCACCCCCAACCCTGGTTCCCTCATCTCTAAGAGGCACACGATGACCACAGGGAGCAAAGGAGGACAGACAAGGCTACAGGACACGTACACCCCATAGCAGCGAGCCTTTGAAAGCATCCAGAATTCACAAGGGCCCTCACGGCAAGAGCTGGCACGTCTCACAGATGGAGGTCCGGGTGCGGAGCTAGCCAGTGGCAGACCTGGGATCTGAGAGCCCCATCCCTGCCTCTGCCCAGTCCTGTCCTCCTACCAGCCTAGACTTTCCTTTGGGGCCTGAACGCCCACCCAGGACTCACCATGGCCCTGCTGGGTGCCCCTGGTCCTCCAGCACGCTGGGCTCCCCAGCATCCTTCCTTCGGGCACTTGCCCTCAGCTCCTGGGCCCGGGCCCCTAGTTCCCGTGCCCGCTGTAGGCACGACTTCAGCTCAGAGAATGTGACTTTTGAGGAGGTCTGTGGACACAAGATGCCATCAGCTGGCCAGTCACACCCACATCACTTGACCTCCCCTACCCTGGGTCCAGACTCACTTTCTTCTCCGGGGTGGCCAGGCAGGGCTGCAGACCTGCTGAGAGAGAGGCCTGCTCCGGGGAGCCAGGGACAGCCGGGACAGCCGGGGCAGTGGCGTCAGCCGGGGCAGTGGCGTCAGCCGGGGCAGTGGCGTCAGCTGGGGCATCGAGGGCAGCTGGGGCAGGTGGGGCAGTGGGACCCGAGACCTGGCGGGCAAGACGCAGAAGGTGAATGAGGAACCAAACTCGGTGGTGAATGACTGGTTCCTCCCTCCCTCGCTTAGCTACAAAGGGGGCACGAGGCCCGGTTTTCGCAGGAGTCAAGCCAGAGGAGGCAGCAGTGGCCAGTCTGGGCTTCTTGCTCCTCCCGGGCTTGACCCCTAGCCCAGCCTGGCCGGCAGGCTGGACATCTACCAGCCCACGGAGCCCAGGCCCTCCTCCGGCCCCTCCAACAGCTCCGTCCAGCACCTCCGCGCCCTCGCTGCGGAGCTCTGCGCCCGGTTCTCGCGGCGCCCGCGGCACACCTGCCCCCGCCGTCTGCGGGCACCGGGCCCCAGGCCTTCTCCAGTGTCCTGCAGCGGTTCGGGGCCGGTTCTCCGCACCGTGCCCCGTGGGCAGCCCGCCCCCGGGTCCGCGCCCCCCGCCCGCGCCCCAGCCCCGGCCTGTCTCTCGCTCACCGCGTCGGCCGGCAGCCGCAGTCTCCGGCGCGCGGGCGGCGCGGGGTGGTCGCGCGCGGGCTCTGCGGGCGGGCGGGCGCGCTTGCGGCTGCTGCCCGGGGTGCGGGCCGGGGCGCCTGGCGCGGGCTTGGCGGGGCTCGGGGTGCGCCAGGCCTGCTTGACCCGCGGAGGCACGGCGCGGAGCCCGGGGCGGCGGCGCGCGAAGAAGTCGGTGAGGCGAGGCTGTGCCATGGCGGGAGCGGGGATAGGGACCGGGCTCCGGGCGGAACGCGGAGCGAGCGGGGACCCCGAGGCACGGAAGTGGTGCCGCGCGCCGAGCCGATTTTCCCGCCGCTTCTGCCCCCGCCCGCCGCGGGCGGAACCACCGGCGGGGGAGCCGGGGATGGCCGAGAAATGGGCCCGTCCGGGCACATGCGCACTGACGCGCTCGCGGCCGCGCCGACGCGCGCATGCGCCGACGCGCGGCCTCACCCCCACCCCCCCACCCCCCTCACCCCCGCCTCCGTCCGACCGACTGCGGCTGGGGAAGAGCTCGACGTGGGGAGGTCGCGGGGCCGGGGCGGTTTTGGCGAAGAGAGCGATGGCTCGCCGCTTCTCTTGAGGTTGACAGCAGTCACCGTGGAGTGACGCTGGCCCTCTCGGCGGCTGCCAGACCCGGGGTGCGGGTTCTGTGTCAGCGACGCTGTTGTACCGAGAAGAGGGTCCTGGGGAGGGGGTGTTCGTGCGGGAGGGGCCGCTGCCGCCGGGGACAGCGCCGCCGCCGGGGTCCTGCTGCCCCGGGGTCCTGCTACCAGGACCGGGGCGCGCTGGAGGGGGCCTCTCGGTGGGGGAAGGGTGCCCAGAGGCGGCGGTTCCCGTCGATGAGCGGAGCGGGCAGCCCCGGGAACAGCAGCCGGCCGGGGAGCAGGGTGGGAGGCGGCCGCCGGCGTGTTTAAGGCTCGATTCTGTGACCGGTGTGTGACGGCGTGTGTGCTCTGGACCGCACGCTGTAGGTAAGCGTGGACCTCCGTGGGAATGGACCTTTCCAAATTTAAGGTTGCTGTGCGTTATAGGGCGGAGCCGTGCGGGATCCTGGAACTGTAGTGACAGCCTCTTCTTAAGACCAAGGGCGTCGAGGGGCTTCGTAAATCTTCCAGCTCAGAGGCTCATCGGGAGGGAGCAGCCGTCTTCTCTCCCAGATACACCGTGGTTCCCCATCTAGAAAGTAAGGGAGCGCTCGGTCTTGGAGAGTACAGACAGCTAGCTGACCTGAACATAGGGGACGTCAGGATCTGGCTCCCAGCCCCTGCCCTCTGAAGGTGCACTGGTGAGCAGGAACGCCCCTCCCTGCCCAGAACCTCCAGAATGCTGCACTGTTTCTGCCAGCCTTACCCTCATCTTGCCTCCCGGCCACCCACCAGCCTGGAACCACAGAGTGCTGGCTCGGCTCCCGACCCCCCAGAGAGCTGAGTGAGGTGACAGATGACAGGCTCCCCTGGCTGTGTGACAAGAGCACGCACTCCCAGGCAGTCCACTGCAGGGGACTCCTGGGAGGGAAAGAGTCACGGATTGCTGTGTTCTGGCTAGCTCCCCAGGGGCACTAATCTAGAGATGGAAGCGGGCACTAGGAGACCCTGAGTGGCTCTGGGGATAGCCGAGGGGTCTCATAGGATGCAGAGCATGAATCTAAAACGTGTCTGTCCCAAGTAGGATGAGGCAAGTCTGTCTGCATTCAGTCCTCACAAGCAGCCAGTGGGCAGGGGCCTGGGGACCAGCTCCAACACCACTGCCAGTGCCTTTCCAGTGCACTTGGCCGTACCACTGTTACTTTGCATGTCTCACCTGGTGAGTAGGTCTTTTTGGGGTGACTTCAGCCTCTGGGGAAGCTCCTTCTTAGAAAATTTTCTGCCCACTTACAGTGACGGCAGTAAGACGGGTCACCTCAGCAGCCACCTCTACAAGGTGGGACCCCTACCTTCCTGTCACTGCTAACGAGATGAGAGACGCACAGCCGAACCAATCAGCTCCTCTCCTGGGACCCAAGACTGGAACTGGAACCACCATCCTGTCACGTCTGGTTGTGAGAAGTGAGATGGAGTAGGACAGTCATCTTCCACCCTGTGTGTGGAGACAGGGTAATGAGCAAGGGACTGTGTGACCTAGGGACAGGGAGCCAGACCCAGCAGCTGACTCAGATGGTTTGTGATGGCTTCCACTTTGCTCTCATGGGAGACCCACAGCCTTTCAAGGTGGCCTGGCTTATTAGAAAGCAGCCTCTAGTCCCTCCCATACCTCTGCGTCTTTTATCTAAAGGGCCTCTGAGTGACTTTCTGTTTCTTCCGACCCCAGGAGGCTGGGGGAGAGCAGGGGCAAAAGGTTGATCCATATGAGGCTACAGTAATAAAAATACAGAGTAGTAAGGAAAGTGAACGCCCTTCTCTGCTCTGTTCTGCCCAGGCTCCCCCTGAAGTGTCATGCTGGCTTATAGGTGTGGAATATTAAGAGGACATAGCCTGGTTAGAATGCCTTCAGGAGAGAGGAACCAGATAACAAGGACAAGAACCCTTCTTTCTGGAACCCTTTACCCTGCAGTGCCTGGGAGATCGGGACCTGTGCCTTCATTCATGTGATTACTGACTGCCCACTGGGAGCCTCGCTGCGGAAGACCCAGTACAGGCCAGGCCACTGAGGGTCCCCCGTGCACCAGGCTGAGAACAAGACAGGTGAGACCCCGCTCTCAAGGAGCTCACATTCTAGTGGAGAGAGACAGAAACCAGTTTTATTGGAACTTCAGAAAAAGAATATAAAACCTAGTCATGAGCTGGAGTGACGGGGGGGCACTTTAGATCTGAGGGTTCAGGGAGGCCTCTTGGAGAGGATCACACTGAAGGGCAAGAAGAAGGGACCGTGGGGGCGTCTGATAGCAGCGTGTGGAACCCACACAGCCATCACAACCACCACCGTCGTTTTAAGCACATTCCAAAGAATGACTGGAGTTGAAGTACGTTCTGAGTTTGAGTTACAGACCTGTCTGCCTGTCTGGAACTTCCTTAGAACCCATCCCACAAAATAGTAGCCGGGCTCTGTGAGCTGCGCCGTATGCAGGCCTGCTTCGCCATAGCTGGGATGCCTTCTCCGTCTCCCCCTCAGAGCGAACCTCCATGCCGTCGCCCATCTGTGGAGAAGAAGCCAGTACTTGGAAGGCATAAAGCCGACGCACCGGGCAGCCGGCTCTGGTTGCCCACCTCTGTGTCTCATTCGGTCACTCTTCCTGCCCCAAGAGACAGGAAGGAGCTGCAGAGGTGTGGTGGGATTCAGGCCTTATGGGTCCCCTGCACCTGCAGAGAACCTGCCGCCTGCAGTCGAAGGGGAGATTTTCATGGTCTCGGCGTACAGTGCCATGTCCCCAGCCAGACCTGGAGGCAGCTTGACGTTCAAGGAAGACATCTGGGTCTCAGCCATAATCGGCCCGCACCAGGCTCATTGTCCACCAGGCATGATGGGACAAACAGGAGGGTGGAGAAGCCACTGCTGCGCACAGGCTGAGTGACCTGGGAGGTGGACTCTACTCCCTAAGCCTCACATCCCTCATCCTTATCAGGGGGACTCACGGAGAGTGCTCTCAGCAGAGCCCTGGGAAAGCAAATGTAGCCCAAGCTCCCGAGCGACGGTGGCCCACCGCGGCCCCATCAACCGCACACCTGCTTGCAGAGAATGGTGGGGTGGGGTGGGGCACACTCTGTCTCGATCCACGTGTGAGTGTCCAGCAGCCCCAACAGAAACGTGGCGGGGGCCACGGGCCTAATTTTACGCTTTCTCGTGGCTACCTTAAGAAAGTAACAAGAATCAGGTGACAGTCGTTTTCAAGTATATCCTTATTTTACCCGTTATGTCCCAAATGTTATCATTTGAACAAGTAACCGATAAACTTTATTAATGAGCTATTTCACATGGTTCACCGCCGTCCACTCAACCATCACTAAGTCCTAGTGCTGGTCACACCAGGTGCCGTCCGTCGCGCCTCGCGGCACGCTCGATTCTCACGGAAACGCCTGGTCTTTGCCCGGGTTTCACGAAATCCGCAGCTGGAAGCGGATTGGGCCCGGGTTGCTCTGACCACACAACTCTCCCAGCAGTGCCGGGGAAAGGCCGGGCCCCAGCGGGCTGGATCCTGCAGGGCGGGGGTCCCCACGACCCGGCGGACGGGAACAGGGCGGAGACGGCGCGGGTCGAGACGCCACGCAACCCCCGGGCTCCCAGACCCCGCCCGCGCGAGAACGCCCGCCCGCGCCGCCCTGCGCCGCCCTGCGCCGTCCATCCCGCGGCGGCACGGGGCGGGGCGTAACTCCAGAAGGGGCGGTGTCTGTGAGGGGGCGTGGCCTGCTCGGGTCGGCACGGCGCCGGGGGCGGGGCCGGGGTGGCAGGGGAGGTGCCGCCGGTGGGGGCGTGGCCGGAGGTCAGGCTGGGCCCCGAGTTCCTCCACCCCGCGAGGGGGCGGGCCCGCTGCGGCGCCCGTGAGTGGGGCCGTCGGGGTCGCCTGGGTCACCTCAGCCCGAGGGTCCTGCAGGCTCCTGTTCTCACCCCCGCTGCCCTGTCCTCTGTGGGAAGGTAGAGCCCTCGGAGCGCTCACCTGCGGAACGTCAGGCCGGAACCCAGGGCCTTGCTCCCGGCCGAGCTCGCCGCCCTCCTCCCCGCGCCGTGGCCGGACCCCCGCCGGGAGGCCTGTGAATGTCCCTCGCCTGAGGACTTTGGGGGCTTTGCACAAGCCACTCCCGATCCAGGTGGGTTGGCCGTGCCGTGCGCGCCGGCGGCTCAGCCCTGCGCTGGGGGGGCGGGTGCTCCGCGCTGCAGAGCGGAAGGCATCTGCCCTGCACCCCAGGGCTCGGCCCTGCGGACGGAAGGCTCCCCCGGAGCTCAGGAGCGCACTCTGTAGTAAGGGAGGCCCATTCGGCAGCGTCCGTTGCGCTCGCCCTGGTGCTGGGCCCTGCGCGAGGGCCGGGGGACGTGCCAGTACCCACTGACGCAAGTGAAACTGAGTCAAGGGAAACCCCATCAGGTGGGCAGGGGGAGCGCCCCGGCCTGTCGGTTGCAGACCCATCAGGAAGCGGGACTTGACCTTGCACGTGGACACTGCTCTGCTCCTGGGGCCTGCGGAAGGGACGCTCGCTCATCACCTGTCCCCCCCGTAAGCACACCGGCTCCCTCCAGCAGTGGGAAGCCGCCCACTCCAGTCCCGGGTCACCCCTTCCAGCTCATGACAGCGCTCTGGACCTACCCTTTCCCTCCTCAAAAAAGCGTGTCTCCCCTTGGTTCCTCACACTCGCCTGTGGTTTTTCCACAGCTCGTTTGTCCCACACGGCAGTGCATTTTTATTCCCCAGTCCACCCCTCTTTCGGGTCTGACCCGCACACCTCGCGCAGGTCTGTAAACAGGGGCGGCGAAGTCAGCTCCCCCGGGCCAGCCTTTCCCTTAGAGGTAGGCTGCGTGGGAGTGACGTTTCCACCGGGACCTGGGCCACGTTCCTGCCGCCTGGCAGTGAGGGCCTGTGCTGACAGGAGAGGGCACACAAGGTCTCTTTGGCCTCACAGAGCACTTTGGTCTTGGGGCCGTGGAAGCCTCTACTCGGGAGTGGGGAGACCAGGTTTCACCCAGAGGGAAGCCTGAGGGGTGGGAGCCAGAGGCAGGCGGAGGCCGTCACTTGGGCAGACACCCGTGACTCTGGGGGTATCTGCCTGGCTCAGTCCATGGAGTGTGAGACTTGTCATCTCAAGGCTGTGAGTTCGAGCCCCACATTGGTTATAGAGATTACTTAAACATAGACTCTTAAAAAAAAAAAAAAAGAAGTCCTCTGACTTTGGTTTAGAAGAGGTGGGCTGGGGGCACCTGGGTGGCTCCGTTGGTTGAGCGACTGCCTTCGGCTCAGGTCATGACCCCGGACTTCTGGGATCGAGTCCCGCATCGGGCTCCCAGCTCCTTGGGGAGTCTGCTTCTCTCTCTGACCTTCTCCTCTCTCATGCTCTCTCTCACTCATTCTCTTGCAAATAAATAAATTTTAAAAAAATCTTTAAAAAAAAAAAAAAAGAAGAGGTGGGCTGAAGATCAGGTCAGATGCCAGCCCGTCCGCCAACCTGTGTGTGTGGTCATGGGCTCACGGCTGCACGTTCCGGCGACACAGTATCACGAGGGCCGTGGCCCGTCCCTGTAGCAGGCTTGCGTGCAGGAACACTCAGGTAGCGAGACTGGGATGGTTCTGAGAAACAGCAGCGGGCGGGTGGCACCCAAGATCAGGACAGGGAAGGACCCCAGGCTGCAGGTGGGGATGGGAGGGACCACGTGGCTGTGTGGCCCGGCAGGAATGGCCCGCAGACCACCCATAGCCGGGGCACCACAGAGGAGTTTGAACTTCCTGCCTCGGCAGGCGGGGAAGGAAGCAGCGACCAGAACTGAGTGGACAGTAGCCCCGTCGGTCACTGTGGAGGGCAGGTGAGGGTCAGGAGGCTATGGTAACCCCACTGCTGAGAGAGGACAGATGCGGGCAAGGAGGAAGGACTGAGTGCAGCCCAGTGGGGCCGCCAAGTGACCACACAGAGCCTTGCGTGTCTCTGGCCTGTGGTGAGGAGGTGGGGGCCTCAGGACAAGAGAGGGAAAGGGCAGATCCCGGGTCCCATGGAGGCTCTCTGCTTCGGCAGTGAGGGATGCTGTCAGCCAGGCAAGCCCTGACCACACAGCCCCACCCCAAAGTGTCTGGAAGGTGGGAGTGGGAACAGGGGCGGGGTCCGTGCCATTGTCAGATCAAGACCCTTTTCACCTGGATTGACAGAAATCAGGGCCCAAGGCAAAGCCTCATGCGCCACTTTGGATGATGGGCCCTGCGGGGAGCTTGTGAGAACAGGACACCAGAGGGGAGGAAGGGCGCACGTGGAAGACCCATCTGTCCTCAGAGTTGATGGTACAGCCACAAAGGCCAAGTAGATGACACCTGAGGACCGTCCAGGGGGGAAAGGAGAGGTGTGGGACAGGTGTCCACAACCAAGCAGAGGTGTGGCAGAGAGCAAGGCATTTGGGGGACCCATGCGGCCCTGGGTGTTTTGCACAGGGTTACAGACAGTGGGGTGATGTGGCCTGTGCCCCCAGCCCTGGGACAGGATGCCCAGAAACCCTGCAGGACCCAGGATCCTTAGAAGAGTGACGTGGTCAGGCTCCCTGTGCTCAGGACCTCCAGTCTCCTTCCTCTGCTCCCAGCCAGCGCCCACCAGTGCGAGAGGACACCACTCAGCCGGGGCCCCGCTGCCCACTGTCCACTTGTCGCAGGGAAGGGGATGGCTGACCCCTTCCCTGTCCCTGAGCAAGCTGGTGGGGGACCTCGATCACCCCCGGGGTGGGGACAGCGCCCCCCCCCCCTCCGCCAGGGGCCCTTGGTCAGTTCCATTCCAGTGACAGTAAAGAAAACCAGCAGCAACTGGGCCAGAGCAGAACTGGCAGGAAGCTGGAAAGCACCAGGGCCGGAAGGGCCAGGGACCTCCTCGGCTGAACCTGCTTTGAGAAGTTTCCTGCAAAGGAGGAAGGCACAGGCTGCACCTAGCTCCTCCTCCACCCTCAACCTGCCCCAGCGGTCTCGAACCCAGAAGTGCAGGCAGGGAAAGGGCCAAGTGTAGGGGGCAGCCAAGTCTGCACACGGGCCAGGCCCTCCTCCTCCAGCTCCCACCAGGCTCCCAGGAGAGCCATGGCCCCACAGGAGGGCTCGGGAACCCCCATAGGAGGGCTAGGGAGTCGGCAGGGCTGGTGGCACTGGCGAGTGCCAAGGGAGGGGCAAGCGCTGAGGGAGGGCTGGACAACCCCTGTGACTGGGGCCAGGACCTCCTGCTGCTCCCCCCACCCCACGGGCCCACCTTGCCCACCCGGGTTTGGAAAGTGCACTGCCGTGCCTGCCCTGTGCAGCCCCCCTGGGTTTGCTGTCCCTGGCTTCCTGCTCTGTGTCTCTGGGGGCAGTCAGGTCTCAGAATTTCCACCAGGAGCAGGGCAAGGTGGAGAGTTTAGGAGCTGGGCAGCTTGCTGGCTGTGGAG